AAGAAGATTAAAAGAAATACCTATTTCTTTTTCCCCTTTAAATCATTTTCTGTCGTATTTAAGGTAGGACAAAACACCCGCGAATTCTATTTTAACCCATTTCTTAAAAATTACTGGAGGAAAAAAGAATAATATTACTATATTGACAACAATGAATGATCCCTGAAAGAAAAATAATAAGTTTTGGCATATTTGCGTTATATTTTGTGAAAAAATCAGAGAATCCTATATATTGGTCACTTGGGAGCTTACATTTTGGAATGTGTTTACGCTATCTAAGTGCAATAAACAAGCATGTAACAGTCTGTTATAAAATGCAGTGCAACTTTTGTTCCATAAATAGTAGAGGGGAGATATTTGGACACATATATAAGGAGTCTCTATTCTTCATGTACTACAAAGGTCAAGGTCATATCACGAGGTCAAAGGTAAAATATTGTGACGTCATCTACTGAATCTTTCAGGTTTTTTTTGCCATTGAATTTTTTTTAATCGCCAAAATATCTTAAACCACCGGTTCAATTTTCTTTATTTTTACACATTTTATTCAAGGACCCATTTGAATCATTCTGTTGATTTTTTGTAGAAATTGAATTATACATTTTCTCTTAAGAAAACTTAAAATGTCGGATATTTACATGTAAATTTTCAGTTTCTGATACAATGTATGTTCTATTTTACTTAATATTTTACCCAAATTTTCCATTATCAATGTAACTTACTGATTTAAAGTAACAAAAAGGTTATCTTTATTGAAAGTATTACACAAATTTGCAATAGATCAATTGAAAATTCTAAAATAAGGCTCATTCTCAAGTCGAATGTCTGATTTTGCAATCTTCTTACAGGGGTCTGATAGGCCATATCTCAGACTATGTGGTCAAAAAATGTGCGGTTGAATTTCTTTCATATCATGTATAAAGAGAGATTTTGTATCCAAGAACAAAATATCAAAGTTTCAGAAAAATTGAATTTGAGGATAAATTTGACCTATCTATTTGGTCCTATCTTAATAGTTTCCATTCCTCTTCTACGTTTCGTGGAAAGAAAGGCAACTCGTTTTCAAGACCATAGCAGTTTATAAGGCTTTTTCACCGTGGAATCTATAATTCACGTCAATAATAACCATTATGGTTTGTAAATATATTTGTTTGTATTAAATCACGAGAACTTGTGTTCTGCATAAGATTTATGGAATTCAAATACTAAAATGCACATGTACATCGTACCAATTTCACTCCCTTTCTGTATTTATTCTTTAGACTAATTATAAAAATTTCATCAAACCTCCGGGCAAGGGCCATGCAAAGACAGTCTTCTCAATTTTTCCTTTCTGCATCACTGTACCTTTATTATGCAAGCATTTAAAACAATTATTCTTGATTAATTTTAAAAGTATAAGTCATATCTTATTGAGGAAAATCTATTATCCTTTTAAATAAACTACTTTTATTAGAACGATTGTATTGAAGTAACATAGAGGTTTACTTTGAAATAAAACGCATGGAGATAATAAACAGCATTCAAGATCAGAAGTCCGTAAAACAATACAAAATAGGAGCAGAGAAAACACAGACCTCCAAAACATCAGAGGTGGGATCAGGTGCCATGGAGGAGCGAGCATCCTGGCCCTGCCAATCGGTCACACCCGCCGTGTGCTCCTTGTCATTATAGAGAAATAATGGGAAAATCTGTCATCAATTCAGTGTATAAGTAATGGCTGAACAATAAGTATGAACTACGTCAGTCAGCATTTGACTCAATGATAAATTGCATCTGCTTACAAGGTCTTTGTATCGACCATAGAACTTACGAAATGATGACTTTGAACGGAACTGCAGATATTCTTGTTTCATCAACTTGTTTGTCAATAATTTATCTTGTTTTAGAAATTGTTCATACGTAAAAGGTATATTGCTGCATAAAATAGGGAAGTTGACGATTGAAATGTTAAAGTCATCACGTTTATCATAGAAATTGGTTGTTAGATTACCATACACGTCTTTTTCAAGTAAAATATCCAAATACGAAACAGATGTGTCAGACTCTGTGGTATCTTTCATCTCAAGCTCATCGGAATATATCGTATCGACATAAGAATGGAAACTAACATCGTTAATTGACAATTGGTCGTCCATATATCTAAATGTTGAGTTGAAGGCCACAGCAAGTGTGGGCATCTTGTTGATACACTGTAAAAAATAACTAGTTAATGTCACGAAGAAAACTAGTAGATTCACTGTCCATACAATCACTACCTTAATAGTAGTTTTACCAGAAATTGGTATATTTACTAGATAAAATTAGTAAATTTAGAATTGATGAGTAACTTTCACTAGGTATCTAAGTATCTATACGACCCCCGCTCCACAACTCACTATCTTAACCAGTAAACTGAAAGTTTACTAATCACGACCAACGCTTTACGAAACACACTAGTTAAATTCACTAGGTTTTTCTTTCAGTGTAATCTTCCCCAATATTATAGCAAAAATTGGAAATTGAGGGACATTTTTTGGCGGATCTGTTTTGAGAGGACCAATAAATTCGTTAATAGTGAGTATATTTATCCAAACTCCATACTATTTATCGTTTTTGGGGACAATTTTTTTTATATGTTCAATAAATGCTGGAAAATATCCTAAACCAATTATCTTTCAATATCGTTTAGTATTCGTATATTCAGGGTAATTCAATTTTTTTTCTTTTTTGCCAAATTAAACCAAGATTATTTCCATATGAATAGTGGATTTGTGAGCTTAACAATTTATATGAAAGTCAGCCAAAGAACCAACCCACATGAAAGAATATACCGGGTATTTGCTAATAAGGTCATTTTAACGACCATTTTGAAGAAGGCTTTTGAAAATCCGGTAACATCAACTTATCAGTGAGAAGAATGTGTAGCTTTAGACATTGAACGTACTCAGAACAAGTTCTTGAGTAGCAAAAAAGTTTGAAAATTGTCTTAAACAATTGTTAATGGAATATTACTACAGGAATAAGTAAAGTTGATGATAGAAAAGGTGAAGTCATCTTGTTTTTCATGCAATTTAGTTGTTGGTTGGACTTTATCACCTTTAGTCAGTAAAACATCTAAATGTGACACACTATGTGCAATGCCAATATGATGTCTTTTATTCTAAGTTCACTGGGATTTATCTAGAAGCTTTCTGTAGAGATTTTAGAATTGGTATATTAACGTATTTACGCCATCATTTGTTTAAGAATTAGACAATTATGATTATTTGCACACATGCGAACTTTATTTGTGTCATCATGTGAGATATCTTCATGTATATGATTGTATGTTAACTTGCATTTTGACATAAATAAGTTGCATTTAGCATGTTAACTTATACACCATTACTTGAATGTTGACATATTAACTAAATCTTGTAACTTAATTTGCATACTGACTAAAGAAGTTTTATGTTCACTTTATTATCTCGCATGTTGACATTTAAAATAATATCCTTGTTGAATTCAATATTGTAACATTATTAAATTGCAACAAATGTGAGTGATTTCTTAAAACTCATACAGACTCATACAAACACACACCCTACACCCACATATTCCTACATTGTAGATACGAAAACAAAAAGAAATTCAAATCTTCTTTATTGTTAACCCAGAATTATGTAACAAAATTTTGAAAAAACCTGACGTGTGATGAATTATTTTACTTATAATTGTAAATGCACAGACATCATATACAATGCTTAATTTGATAACTTGATTAGAATACAAAAATAACGAACTGATTAATGTTGTTTTGTAACTAGATTTAAAATTCATGTTTTAAGGATATGACTGTCAAATAAATGAATTAATTAAAGTCGGTTTTTCGCAGGATAATGTTTAGGAGTGGCAACTGATAAACTTTTCAATTATTTTCTCTCAAAAATGAATTTTATCGTGTTTGGAATACTTGTTTTAACTTTTCCAACATTTTTATCTTTCCGATGGGCTAACAGATGCACCATTCATCCGAAGGGGTATGTATGTTGTTCTACTTCCCGTTTCTTCATGCCGACAATTTCCAAATGATATTATGCAACATGCACATGAATGTTTGTTGTATTTTGTACTGTTGAATAAATATTAAGTCTGTGAATGAACCTTTAGTGTGGATACTTTTCTAAGTATCTTTCACATACATTCTCCAAAATCTCACTCACAAACATCAGATTTCTGTATGCTAGACATCTCACATTGTGGCAGATATCGTATATTCTGGAAATTATGTTTGTGGAAGGCAGGAGGGTGGGAGGGGGGGGTTCAGTCAGCTTCTAATACGTTTTAATTATTATTCTGGAGGTTCTATTAAAGATAAAGATAAAATATTTCTCAAATAAGAAGAGGAAAACGAGGTAACCTTCGTGATTCTTGGAATGAGGATATCTTCATAGTCTCCAAAATTTAGATATAATTCCAGGAAAACTGTACAAAGGTCAATGCCCATCTCTAACTTTTGATTCACGTCTCCTATATACAGGTGATGTTTTGAAACTTTAAGTATTATTTAATTACTGTTGGTTTATTTTCCTCATAACTGGGTGTACTAAACAATTAATTTGTCAATGTAATAAACTACTTTATTCGAAAATTACATTAACAACTGGAAGCACTTTCAGCAGTTTGCCAATTTTGAAGAAAAAAAAAATTCCAACCTTAAACTGGTGTTTGTGCTGATAAAAAAAGTAGCCTACGGCATTTCAGTAATTCACAATGTAGCCCCCCCCCCCCGAAAAAAAATCCCTTACAAATCCTGTCAAAAGGGAAGAACAGATTAGAAATCTGAAATTAAAAAATACTCTTGAACACCAGTTAAATCCGGTCATCTCTATGGGGGTGTACTGAAACTGCTTCCTAAATTTGCATAAATTGATTATCTTCACGTCCTCGTAAGAAAGGTTTAAAATACGTATTTTAAAAATGTAAGGAAGAAGAGAGAAAACAAGAAATTCAAAGTAAATAAAATTATTATCAGAAAATTATGCTTTATTTTTCCTATTTGTATAATATTTTGAAGATTTATTCCTGATGGAGAACATCGTGAATACCAAGTTCCAGACAACTGTACAGAGGGTGCCATCTACTGGAAATATCCAAAAGAGTACATCATTGTCAATTTCACATTAGAAAGCCCTGGTAACTTCTTGGTTTGCCTTAGAGAAAGCATTGGAGGCAACATGTTCAGCTTTTATGATATCACAGGAGAAATACGACTAAGCATTCCAAAGGGTTTGTATGGAGAATTTGATTTGAATATCCGCAAAAGAAATTTGCAAGGAAAATAAGGTTATTCTTACTTATTTTCAAACGATATCGCAAAGGATGAATTAATCTCTTTTGTTTTACAGGCACATGGCCATGCATAAACTCTCAGACTGGGAATGCCTCTGTTGAGATTCATGCTCCAGAAATGCTACCTTATTTGGGAGCTATTAAATATTCAATTCAATTCTAAAATATTTGCTTTATAAAAAGAAATGCAGATTAAGGTATTCTTGTAACGTATTTTGTTGTAACGTGCATTGCATTTTAAGAAATGTATATTAATTCTTTGCACCTCCTTCTTTAAGAAGTGATGGGGTTTCGAAAGAAGTTGAATGAAAGATGGTAATGACTAGATGCTATGGCGTAAAAGAAGTCGAACATGAGTTATCGTTCATATATCGAGTTATCGTTCATAAGATGTGTAATACGTCATCACTAGAGAACTATTCACTCGTACATGGAATATTCCACATGTGTTAAGATAAACAGAAATAAAATAAATATTCTTTAATCATATTTATTCGATTAGTAGTTTATATTTATTTCATATGTAATTTACAATGGGGTTATTATATATGAATCCCTATGCCGAAAATTGGAAATGTCAGTATATATAAACAATTTATCAATATAAATTAATCATCAAACATGGATTAATTATAGATAATCGTGGATTGATTTTAATGAAAAATAAAAGGAGTTGAGGTATAGTACTTGATATATTTTCTTTCTATATATTTATTTGTATTTCGGATAATGCAGTTTGGTTGTTATTTGTATTGCGAATGGAGAATGCACAGGGGGGGGGGGAGGGGTATTACCAACTGGAGACAGGCATCTATCGTTAAATGTGGTCATGTAAGAAACGAAAACCAAAGGTGTTTAAATGCTGCCTTAAGATCCTTGCTCCAATTTTTCACTCATGGGAACACTAACAATTGCCGTTGGAAAGCTGCTCGACACCCTGGGTCATTGAGCAGTAAGGGACCTTTTTCGTGCCAGCACCAACAGCGACAGGGAGGGGTGGAGCGGTTGTTTGACAGAGTTAAGGAGCCAACAACCACACTAAAATTATTGAATTATTAAATCTTATGCATATATTGTCAAGAAAATGGGGCCCTGGTCCCCTCCACAGTGAGGGACCTTTTTCGTGCCAGCACCAACTGCGACAAGGGACCTCGGTTTATACGGTCTCATTTGAGGACCGGTCTCCACGTCCTTCAGAGGGATTCAAACCTGCAACACAAGGATTATCTCCTTAATCCGCGACTTTAAAGCAGACTTTCTTACTACTATTTCACACGGCGACGCAGATTTCAGTGGCGAATCCAGGAATCTTGAAAAGAGAAAAGGGGGAGGGGGGGGGTGCTGTTGTTTACCAGAGTTAAGAGTTTATCAGTGTTAAAATATACAGAAATATAATAAATATTTGTTGTTAATATTTATTAAATTGGTAAATTACATTTTATTAAAAATTATTGAATTATTAAATCATATGTATATATTCGACAGAAAAGCGGGCCGGGGTGGGGGAGGGGGGTGTACTACCTGTAAACTAATCCGCCAGTGTAATTGAATGACTATTATACTGAGTTTGTGAGATAGAAATAATTATTTTGTTATTTTAATTAGAAACTTATACCTATACAACAACCATTTGTAAGAAATCTGGTATTGTTTCACATGAATATCCAGGTTAGAGATAAGACTTAATTTCTCACAAAACTCAAGTTTTTTTTTTCCCCGAGGCATATCCTAACGCAATAGAGCAAGGGATACGTAAGTCTACAAAACCTACATTTTTCGCTATTCGGCAGTTACTACTTTTCTGGGTCTGGTATACCTGACCCTCACACTAGGTAATTCGAGTGATTTTTTTTCCATGTGATCCAGAGTACAAACATATGACATTAAGCTTACTTTATTAATATTTCTTCACTTAGGGCAGTGATGTTTGTATAATACTTGTTGTAAAATATGTTTTAAAAATTAAAAAAAAATTAATAAAACTAATTATAAAGTCCAAATTACTAGATTTCACTTCTTATCTAATGACCATGTATTGAAGGGCAGCCCCGCGAGAATTCCAAAGCATTTAAGTTATAATGTGTAGCGACCATTTTACGTACCTAATAAATGAATGGTCTGATAGTTTAAATCTTGATAGAATTTTGAAGATGGTATCAAATAATGCTTCACTGAGAATTGTACAAAACTTTGATTTTTTCAATTCAATTCAATTAATTAATTGCACCTTGAATTTTACATTAATTGAAGTTCTATGGGCTGCACATGTTTTATTTAAGATATTGTAAAAAGTTATTTGATTTTCAAACAAATATCTTTGTAAATATTTGAATAAACTATATCTTTATTAAGTTATATACAAAAAATAATGACTCCTTTACCGCAGACACTTTGAGAAATAATAAATTTTCTTCTTTTCATCAAATGCAGATAACTCTTCATAAACGTTTAAGGTGGAATGTCACACCAACTTTTTATTTTATAGATCTTTGAGTCATCCTTTTTAAACAATGGTTTCAGCATGAAAGGCTGATATTAGCTCTTGATTATTTATATTACTTTTTTGGAGTTTGACCCATTTGTCATGAAAATTTTAAACTTTTACTTTGGCCATATCTTTTGAACAGTAGATGCCAAGACATTTATACTTCACATATGTAATCTTTTTTGAAAGACCTTTCATTGGATACCAACAGCCTTGATCCTTTGACGTTGACCTTGTAGATTTCCGTACTTGTGAAGAAACTTTAACCTTGGCTATAACTTTTGAACGGTAGGGGATAGGACTTTCATACTTCATATACATGATCCTTGTGAGAAGTTACTTCATTGGATACCAAGGACTTTGACCCTTTGACCTTTGAGATTGACCTACTTTAAAAAAGAAAACCTTGACCATAACTTTTAAAGTATTATGGCTAGTGCTTTCATACTCCACATATTTAATCCTTGTAAGAAGTTACTTCATTGGCTACCAAGAACATTGAGCCTTTGACCTTGACGTTGGAGTTTGACAGACTTTTTAAAAAAATAACCTTGTTCATAACTTCTGACCGGTTAGGGCTAGCGCTTTCATACTCTATATAAGAATTCTATGTGGCAAGACCTTTCATTTTGATACCAATTACATTGACATTTTGGCCTTGACCTTAGAGATTTTTGTACTTATTAAAAAAAAAAACTTTAACGTTTGCGTACTTTCAAATTTCACAATTGATTTCCTTTGAGAATACCTTATTTTTGGTACCTATTAATTAAATTTGCATTTAAGAAAAGTTTAATCTTTACTATGTCGCCATACATCAGTGTTACACAAACACATCTTGTTTATTAGGTATTCATATGATGCATTCATTTACAGCAAATTGTTTTAAAAGAAAGCATCTAATTTGAATGTAAATAATCATAATCCTACATGTCATTCATTGCTGCTGATTTATTTCAGATTGAAATTATTACCATGATCTTAAAAGGGTTTTCCTACCTACCTGTAGCTTGTACTAGCTAAAAATTCGACATCGAACTCGGCAAGTTCTTCCCTTTTACGGAGATTTAAAAAATAAGTATAACCTGAAGATATTTCTCAGATCTCAGAGCTTTTCTCACCTACCTGTACTTTGTACCAGATAAAAACGCGGCAAAATATTCGTCATATTCCTACCTGTGTTTCATAGATGCTGATTTATTTTATGCTGAAATTCTTACCCTGGTCTTATTAGGCAACTCCTTATCTGTTACGGAGATTCAAGAGATAAGTTTAACATGAAGATATGTCCCTTATCTCAGAGCTTTCTTTCACCTACCTGTACCTTGTACCAGATAAGAATACGACAAGATATTTGTCATATTCTTACCCGTCTTTCATAGATGCTGATTTATTTAATGTTAAAATTCTTACCCAGGTCGTATTAGGCAACTCCTTACCTGTTATGGAGATTCAAAAGATAGGTTTAACATGAAGATATGTCCCTGATCTCAGAGCTTTCTCTCACCAACCTGTACCTTGTACCAGAATAGAATACAGTAAAATATTTGTCATAATCCTACCTGCCATCCATAGTTGCTGATTTATTTAATGCTGAAATTCTTACCCTGGTCTTACTAGGCAACTCCTTACCTGTTATGGAGATTCAAGAGATAAGTTTAACATGAAGATATGACCCTTATCTCAGAGCTTTCTTTCACCTACCTGTACCTTGTACCAGATAAGAATACGACAAAATATTTGTCATATTCTTACCCGTCTTTCATAGATGCTGATTTATTTTATACTGAAATTCTTACCCTGACCTTACTAGGCAACTCCTAGCCTTTTATGGAGATTCAAAAGATAAGTTTAACATGAAGATATGTCCCTGATATCAGAGCTTTCTCTCACCTACCTGTACCTTGTAACAAATAAGAATACGACAAAATATGCGTTATATTCTTACCTGTCTTTCATAGATGCTGATTTATTTAATGCTGAAATTCTTACCCAGGTCGTACTAGGCAACTCCTTACCTGTTATGAAGATTCAAAAGATAGGTTTTTACATGAAGATATGTCCCTTATCTCAGAGCTTTCTCTCACCTACCTGTACCTTGTACCAGATAAGAATACGACAAAATATTTGTCATATTCTTACCCGTCTTTCATAGATGCTGATTTATTTAATGTTAAAATTCTTACCCAGGTCGTATTAGGCAACTCCTTACCTGTTATGGAGATTCAAAAGATAGGTTTAACATGAAGATATGTCCCTGATCTCAGAGCTTTCTCTCACCTACCTGTACCTTGTACCAGAATAGAATACAGTAAAATATTTGTCATAATCCTACCTGCCATCCATAGTTGCTGATTTATTTAATGCTGAAATTCTTACCCTGGTCTTACTAGGCAACTCCTTACCTGTTATGGAGATTCAAGAGATAAGTTTAACATGAAGATATGACCCTTATCTCAGAGCTTTCTTTCACCTACCTGTACCTTGTACCAGATAAGAATACGACAAAATATTTGTCATATTCTTACCCGTCTTTCATAGATGCTGATTTATTTTATACTGAAATTCTTACCCTGACCTTACTAGGCAACTCCTAGCCTTTTATGGAGATTCAAAAGATAAGTTTAACATGAAGATATGTCCCTGATATCAGAGCTTTCTCTCACCTACCTGTACCTTGTACCAAATAAGAATACGACAA